TTAAAGTTAAATAAACATAAAATACAACTTTGGTGGTTTTGAAACGTATTGTTACTATAAATTGTAGTTATATCATGTTCAGATATCATTCGGTTTTCACCGTAACTTTTCCTGCATTTCACAAGCGACCATCAAAATTTCATTGTTGTCGAAGGTCATATTGTCCTTCATTCTCTTGGCCTATATTTTTGCTCAAAGTTGATTTGAAAATGCTTAGTTTCCTTGTCTCTTGAAGAAATACTACATTTAATGATATAGCTGTGGGGTGTGCAAACGCGTCTACGCTCTGAATTGCGGAAATCTTCCACGCGGTTTTTTTTTTTTTTTTTTTTGCGGGGGGAGGGGTTGTCTGTTCCTTGTATATAGTTTGTGAGGGTTTTTTTTCTCGATAACGATTTATCTCACTGTCTTGATGATATGAAGTTAGCTTTTAATTTTTTTTCAAATTATAACATACCAAGTAGATTCCAAGTTATTGCTTGGGCTCCCTGTGGCTGAGAGGGGTTCTTCTTATCGATCCTGATTGGCTGACGTAGCGCATGTTACATCATGCTGAACCCACTTTTCTCAATTTCTTGAGCGTGTGTTATTAGATTTTTAACTTTTAGATATAGTAACATAGTAATTGAGAGAGGGTTGAGTTCTGGACTACTATAAATATTGCTGCAACATAGGATGACGAATGTGGGTGTTTGTAGTTAATGACGTCATACTTCAAATCGACTAAAACACTTTTAAATGTAAACTACATGGACCGCGGAGCTGAGGGGGCTGGGGGGCTACAGTTCTCCCTCCCCACCCCCCACCCCCAATGATTTGTCCGCCATTTTGAATTTTCTTAAACAAAGAAGTGAAGAGAGCCTCCTTATGAAATTTCACTTTTCATTCTATAAAGATTGTGTAAAAACTTAGCATGAAAAATTATAAAATTGAAGCTTTTTTACGAAGTCTTATTGAATATCGTGTGACCGTGTGTGAGTTTTTAGCGGTCAGAAATATGGCTTGGATAACGCCTCAAAACGCTGGAAAGGACATTTCCGAGAGTTTAGGTTTCACCATTTTCTGGGGGGAATTCCCCGAACCCCCCAGTACCTCCTGCCTTCAAAATAAAAACTCGTTATTTTAATTTTTTTTTTTTCACTGAGATCAAATGCAAATGGACGTTAATGAAAAACTAGGCCGTAAATTTAAAGTCGCGCTTACATGTTTTGAATTTTGTTGATTTTCGTAAGCTGTATGCTAATTTTCGACGTCAGAGGTTCTCGAATTTCTTCGACTTTCGCAAAACANTTCCATCTTCGATACAACGAGTTGGTCACCAATCAACGTGTTCTGATTCTATTTGCCTTGCTCTGGGTAGCTATGTCAATGACCCTTGTACCAAGATTCCTGGGAGAAGTGAGTACTTTTACAGTCTTTTTGACAATTGGCTGTACCCTTTCGATCTTGACCATCTTTTTTTGCTACTGGAAAATCTTCAAAATAACACAGCGACACCATCGCGAGATCGATAGCATAGAAAACGCGACGAGACCCAACCAAGTCCACCCTGAGAATATTTTGAAGATCAGAAAGTCTTCCGTCACTTTCTTGATGATAACTCTAATTTTGATAGTATTTATGACTCCATATGTCATATTCAACATATGTTTTGTTTTAATTGGATACCAAGGTTTTGTTGTTCTATTGGGTGATATTTCTATTGCTATTTTGTTAGCTAATTCAGCAGTCAATCCAACTATCTACGTATGGCGTCTTACCGAGCTACGAAATGCTGTGCTGCGTGAACTGTCATCTTGTTTTGGGCATAACGGTTAGAATCAAGAGCCTGAGGACAATTATCATTGGATGTTTTTTTATAGAAAATACGTCCATTTTTTTACGTCCATTTTTTATTCAATTAGTTCTTAATTTTATGGCAAGTTTAAAGTCGTGTCAAAAGTAGTTATAAGTACTTGACTATAACATTATTCTCATATGCTTTAGTGATTGCGATAATCTGTTGTCAAATAAAACAGTGGTTTTTCCCTTTGAATTCGAAAATGGGGAATTGTTTACACATAGGGCTCGAAGCAAATGGATGCATGACATAGGGTGGTGCGGTAATCGATAGAATTAGGTATCATTTCGAAGTAATTGCTTCTAGGAAACTTCTTATTTATCACTTTTTTTGAAGAACCTCGTCAGCACGAGAACAAGATTCGATTTACAGTAGGAAAAATCCCATTTAAGACRAGTTTGAGACTAAACGGGTCATACTGTTACAACTGAATGGATATTATGCTTCCTTTCGTTTTTCCGTTTGTCGATTATTCAATTTGTCACAAACGTTTTCAATTCCTTTTCTGTCCATTATCATATCATTGGCAATGTGCAGAGAACTAATTCTGAACTAGTGCGATCTACCTCGATMTTTCTAAGAAAAAAAGAATGTCTTTAATGCAACAAAAGCTTACTGACGTTTCACGTGAACCTGCTTGATCTTCAACTCTTTTTTGTTGTAACTTTATAGGGCATTGTGGTCTTATTAAAGGAAAAAATTAGCGGGCTCAAATAGAACTCTACTGCTAGCCAATAAGAAGAGAAGAAAATAATTTGTTTGACCAATGAAATAAGAAAATACACTCGAATGTCAACAAACTCCAAGCCTCAACCGTGAACTCGGSGAGGCAATTATTTATTGATCATCAATCATTCCCATGACATTCACATGACCGACGGTCCGGTTGGATGAAAAACCATAGATACTAATGAGTAATCGTACTTTGTTGAAGTTTACCCAAGATGGCCGCTGTGACATATATTGAAAACGAARGATATGGCATTTTTCTTTTCCCATAAAGTTATAAAAGCACTTTTTACGCCCACAAACATCTATCATTATATGACAACAACGTCAGAAACATTAATGCTTTCTCTATCTTCCAAGTTTTATGATTTATCACTTATATATAATTCACACGAGCAGGGTTTGAAATAGGCCTTAGACTATTGACCATTYATTTTAAGATATTCATCTATTTCCTGGCGTGACATCTGGGTTCTTTTTTGATCAAAACAATCAAAACGTGTGGAGTAACAGCTCAAAACTTCTTTTCCAATTTTTATTATTACATGTACTCTGTATTYAGTAAACAATATAAATTCAGCTTAGAATTGAATTAAGTAAACAAGTCAATTTAGTTGGCTTGAATTGAATGCAGCTCTCTTGTTTATGTAAACGCGCGCAAGGATTGTTGTAAACTTGTTCATTCAGGCAACAACGATCTCTAATCGTTATCAATCTTTCTAGAGTCGCARTATATTTCATTTTAAATTAAGTATTTCAGAATATACTTGAAAGCTTTCTTTAATACGATTTCTTCCTGAGAAAAAAATTTCTTGTTTACTTAAAATACATTTTATCGAAAAGAAAATTTGTTACGCAATATACGTAAATTTAATAAAAGTTATTTGCCAATRTAAACAAGCGTCAAGTTATTGAATGTAATTGTACCATATGTTTTTCAAATACATTTTCGATGAAAATTCTAGCCGAGTGGGTGGWATATTCTTAGTTTACAAGTGATTTCAATGAGTGTTGTCGTTCCAAAAGCTAAAAATTTAATCGACCTAGCCTCCTCCACAKGCACAAATAGGAGTCATAGTTTTTCTGTCTTTTTCTGGGAGTCAAAAGAGGGAGAATGTTAGCGAACGAAGAAGAGCAGCTGCTGCCCACTCCTCCTCTTATTATTTTTCCTTTCTTGTAGATTCTTCCACAGTGTCCTGCTCGGCTTTTGGTCYTCTCAAAGTGAGACTGTAACGGTAAAATCCTTGAAAGGCATTGTGGGACCAAAATTCATTGATTTACAGCTAATTCAGGAAACGATGAATGCTGAAGATAACGTATTTCAGGACCGAAATGCATTGYTGCTCTCCTTCTATTGCGACTCATAAGTATTTTTAGAGTGACTCTACCAGACTTGTAAACAGTCATGAAATCCAATGGAAAGCAATAAGTTTAGAATGGTCCTTTTGTAAGACAGCTTATTGATTTGAAATAGCAACACTGCATTTGTGTCTTGGAGTGCAGTGTGCACTATTCAACATTTACTGAAAAAGTTCCATACGACGATCCGATTATATGCCAAATTTGCAAATAACTACCTCATTTTGTGTGATGTTTTACCAGAAAACTTGAGCTTGTTATGGCATGTTGACAACTAAATTTACCAAAGAAATAATTTGCGAAKGACAGGGATAAAATTAATTGTCATTTTGTGGGAGCGCGATGTACCTGGTTGATTGACAAAAGTTCACTGCGTTCAAAAATATCAAATAAAATAAAACTATCCAGAATAGGTCTTTTTTGAGATAGCAATTTGTTGCAATGTGGTCTAGGTTCAGYACAAACATCTTTTGTTAACGCGTCCAATGATGGCGTTGTTTGTGCTGGAGCTAGACCACAATGCACTACGATTTTGTTTAGCTTTGAGCTCTACAACGTTTTTTAAAAGATTGCATTTATTGGTGACRATCGTCGATCGTTAACACRCGATATTTCAAATCTAAGTCTGCAAATAAAAAAGCATTAGTTTAGTCTATGATTATCAAAAGCCGCGGCTTTGCCTAATTTTAACGCCATAGTCTTTTGAGAAACTTATYATCGTAAAGTTTTCCATAGAATGTCAGAATTATGTGACGAAATTAATTTATTATTTTAAAAAATTTTACGATTTTTTAATCTTCTAATCTCAACTTTAAATGCAATAATCAAGCTGGTCCGCTAACAATGCAAAAAATAATAAACCTCTASAYAGAAACTCAAATATTAATCAAAATTTTGTCAAAGTGCGGGTCTGATTGATGTTGATRCCCMTGCTTATCAAAGTAAGGCTCAATAGTTCAGTTTTTCCGCAGTTTTCTGCAATTCCGCGTTATCTTGGAAGGTCTTCTTTGCTTCTCTCAACGTACATTTACTTTAGGAATAGTTGAACTTTCAACAGCACCAGACCTTTTCGATGAACCTGACAGCAGATTTCAATGAGAATTACAAAWACTGTTTTGGACTAACAATCACTGACGAGCCAAATAATGTGGAGAAAGCTTCATTGCTTCTTGTAACTGTTGTTAACTCTCTGGCCGCAGTTTTAGCTGTCTCGCAAAATTCAATCATTATCTGGACTTTGTTAAGAACCCAAAGCCTCCATAGACCTTCGTTTGTTTTATTGGGATGTCTGGCATTTTCGGATTTGACAACAGGTCTACTGTGTCAAACAAGCTGCATAGCTTATGCCATAGTCAAGTATTACCGCTACTGGAACTACCTTTGTAAAACAACTGACTTTGCGGTCAGCTCGTCGGTTATTTTATCTGGTGTTTCATTTTCTACACTTACACTTATCAGCATCGACAGATATTGTGCTTTGCAATTTCATCTACGATACAACGAGTTGGTCACCATTAATCGTGTTCTTGTCCTCTTCGCTTTGCTATGGCCAGCTAGTTCAGCTTTATTAATTCCTAAATATGTTGAAGTGAAATCCACAAACATCTTTACAAGTATTCTATCATTCTTCAGTACTGCTTCAATCTCGGTAATTTTCTATTGTTACTGGAAAATCTACAAAATCGCACAAAAGCACCGAAGACAAATTCATAGCGTAGAAACCTCAACAAGAGCTGGCGCCGAAAACATTTTAAAAATCAGGAAATCCTCGATAAATTTCCTGATAATAACGATAGTTTTATTGCTTTGTTTAACACCATATATAATATTCGCATTGTGTTTTGTTTTTATTGGATACAAAGGCTTTGTGGTACCATTTGGTGATATCTCTATAAGCATACTATTACTCAATGCATCTATTAATCCTGTTATATATGTGTGGCGTYTAGAAGAGCTTCGAAATGCCGTTCGTCGAATATTGAAGATTTGTTTTAGACAAACCGTGTAATTAGTTCTCAGGTACCTGCAGATCATGTATTGAATTTTATTAAATATCCCATAATAATATCCACCATGGATATGTGCTGATGATGACCCCAGATCTAATGCATGCCGGGCCGGGYAGCTTTACATCTCMATGGATGATTTCACTGACACTTATCAGCAACGAACATCAATTTTTTTTGAATGATTTTTATTACAGATTAATAAAGCAGATTACAAAAAAAAAAAACAAAAGGGACGAAAACAATAGTTTACAAATTAAGGAGTATCATTAAGGAGTATTATTTGGCTTACTTGTTTACAGAGAAAAATGACAATGAATATAAAAATGTCGTCAGCAACTGATTTTATGCCAGAAAAAGTGTCTCTAATGAATGACAGTACGATGAATACTTCAATCAATGCAAAAAAACAAAATGAATATGTAAATATACAAGAAAGATAAAAGTCTTCGACAAGTTTTTCTAAATATTACGCCGCTAGTGTGGTGCATCGCCAATGTTTATGGCAGAAATTGTTGCATTGCGACCTTGAATCTTCGAAAATCGTTTGGATTTTCGCCTTTTAAAACTGGCGGGGGAAGGGAGGCGGATCTTGTGCTAATTATTCACCCTCTGTTGTCACCAG